AAGAAAGAAAGAAAGAAAGAAAGAAAGAAAGAAAGAAAGAAAGAAAGAAAGAAAGAAAGAAAGAAAGAAAGAAAGAAAGAAAGAAAGAGAGAAACTACCTTTGCTAAGTATAGTCTCATGGGTTTTTTGTTGTTACTATTGCTGTTTTTCCCTTGACTTCATTTTCTAATTAAAACAGTAATCCTAGATTCACTGACAGCCTTGGCACCACACAAGGATAACATTAGCGAAATTACACCATGCCTCAGTTTCTTCATCTGGGCAAACACCGGACTGTGCCAAAAAGATTCAACTGTCACTGTGCTGGCTAGTCTTATGTCAACCTGAAACAAGCTAGCGAGAGGGAGCCTCAATTAAGAAACTGCTTCAATAGATCCAGCTGTAAGGTATTTTTTAAATTGGTGATTGATGAGGGAGGGCTCAGCCCACTATGGGTGGTTCTATCTCTGGGCTGGTGGCCACAGGGAGCAACCCAGTAAACAGCACCCTTCCATGGCCTCTTGCTGTGGGATGGTCTGTATGTCAAATGTGTTGCTCTGATTGGTCAATAAATAAAACACCGATTGGCCAGTGGCCAGGCAGGAAGTATAGGTGGGACTAACAGAGAGGAGAATTGGGAGAACAGGAAGGCGGAAGCAGACGCAGCCAGCCGCAGCCATGACAAGCAGCATGTGAAGATGCAGGTAAGCCACGAGCCGTGTGTCAGGGTATAGATTTATGGAAATGGATTAATTTAAGCTATAAGAACAGTTAGCAAGAAGCCTGCCACGGCCATACAGTTTGTAAGCAATATAAGTCTCTGTGTTTACTAGGTTGGGTCTGAGTGGCTGTGGGACTGGCAGGTGACAGATTTGTCCTGACTGTGGGCAAGGCAGGAAAATTCTAGCTACAGCCTCTGAATCAGCCTCCAAGTTCCTGCCCTAGCTTTCTTCCATAATGAACAGTGCTGTGGAAGTGTAAGCCAAATAAGCCTTTCCTCCTCAACTTGCTTTTTGGTCATGGTGTTTCACTGCAGCAATAGAAGCCCTAACTAAGACAGCTACCTACCTTCTTTTGATTAGTTCTATATGTACTGAAAGCCAGACAAGATGCCAGGAATTTGGAGTACTATGGTGATCTGGCCCCTACTTTCACAGTTTATGGCAAAATGTGGGAGAGAGACATAAATTTTAAAAATCCAGTAAATAAATGTATAATTAGTGAAGCACTGTTGGGCTATAGGATCACTAAAGGGAGGTCTCTATTGCTAGGAAGCAGTTTGTCAAATGAGTCTCCAAAGCCCTTTATTTCTCTAGTACGTAACTAATGTTCATATTCAACTCCTGGCTTAGCTATAATTTTATTTCGTTTAATTTCCAGTACAACATTCAAGAAGTACCTCTGATTTCTCTCCTCTTGTAAAAGTCTGTTCTGACCTCTTTAGCAGTAAGAGAGAGCTACTTGTCTTGTGAAATGAGGTCTAAGAGGAAAGAAACCAGAAGCCACAACGCAGTTTCGAATAGTACTAGAGTAGTGTGTGAAACACACATGCACGTGCACACACTGGCATGTTAGTAGACTAAGATTCTGAAACCAACAGCTGTGGCCCTTGGAGGATAAAGTTTTCCTGCTAACTTAATAACCATCTATAGCAAGGTCTTAGCATGAGTCCATGTAACTTTTTTATAATAGAAAAATCACAGTGTATTCACTGTCAAAAAGTCTACTCTGGAATTTTTATCATGCCGGAAAGTTGCAGAGATAGCACAGAGTGGGCCAGTGAAGATGGCTCCAGGTAAAGCCACCTGCCACCAAGCCTGACAATCTGAGTTCTATCCCCAGGCCCCACATTAGAAAGGGCGAGAACCAACTCCTGAAGGTTATCCTACGATCTCTGCTGTGCTGTGTGCACCCCAACGTGAGGCACACAAATAAATAAAACATAATTTAAAAATTAAAAAATTCTTAGATATCCTGAGAAAGTGGTTCCATTTTCCACTTATTCTGAATATAGAACGGTAATTTTTCTCAACATTATTCTATTCTGTACTGATGCCAGTAAAAGGACTTCATACTTTCTGTTTGTTGCTCTCCTTGTGACAAACAGTATCACTTGTTTCCATTCACCTTTCAGACTTGGGAATCACACACCTGAGACCTTTCTGCTCTTGCTATGGTTAGTGTCTCATGGTTTCTCTACAAGGGTGAGACAAAGCAATTTCACAGTTATCAGCAGGGTTATCAAGAGAATTTACCACATGTATTGCAAGACCTGGAGAGTAATTCTTAAATTACTGTGTTGCCAGCATGGGCACCTCTCATTCTCTCTGGGCTCTGTGATGCAGCAGTCACTCTTGAGGTCACAGGTCTGCCTTGGAAAGTGCTCAACGAGGCGATGCTGTGTGCACACTTAACAACACACACCGGATAGCTTCGTAAAGAGCCTGTCATATCAGGACTGCCAGCACATCTCAGCCTCAACACCATGGTACCTTAGCTGGTCTCAATCTAACAAAGGGACTCTCCTGTGTTTGCTCAGCACAATTGTTGGTACAAGCCTTTGAGATGAAACCAACCTGAAACTGGGCTGAGAAAGCCTTAGATGATAACTCTTAGTGGAAGGTATGTCCAACTTGCAGCTGAGAGTAAGTACAAATGTAGCCTAAAACAAAACCATGAACTTAAGACTTTATGAGCCAGAATAAGGGAGGTACAGAGAAGGTTGAGAGCACCCCAAAAGGCCAGTGGGTTGAGAGCTGCAAACAACTAGCTGATTATAGTCACAAACATAACTGGCTTTCAATTTCATAGTCCAGCTAGTCTTCAAGAGTGCCATTTATGCAAATGCCCTAGGAATAGCAAGCTTTGTCACCCAACCCAGCACTCCTTGGCTTTGCACTATCCCTTTGGACAACTGAAAATATGATGGCACTGACCACAGAAAAACACAAGACAACCAAACTCTAAGGATCTTAACTCAAAGAATGGAAGAATTCTGAGCTCCTTTGCCTGGAATCTAGGCTGAGAAGCTGTGAGGGAATTCACTGGGCACTCTTTCGGACAAGTAGCTTTCTAGAAGACACAGCAAAGAGGTGGGGAAAAGAAGGCGGCCCTCAAAGCCAAAGGGAAGCAGGGAAGGTGAAGGGGATCTCTGTGCTGGGGATGAAAGAGTGCTGAGGAGTGGAGAGGCCCAGGCAAAGCTTGCCATTCCCACTTCTGCCCAGAACATGACTTGCCACTACATGGCTCTATCAGATGGTTTTAACAACATGAGACAGGTGTTCTAGAGAAGCCTGTTCAACAGTTCATTCTGAACTGTTTTAGCTACATAAGTGGTTCTCAACCTTCCTAATGTCATGACCCTTTAATATAGTTCCTCATGTTGTGGTGATTCCTCAAACCATAAAACTATTTTGTTGCTACTTCATAAATGTAAGTTGGCTACTGATATGAATAGTAATGTAAATATCTGATATGCAGGATATCTGATATGTGACTCCCAAAGGGGTCTTGACCCATAGGTTGAGAACCGCTGATCTACATCACTAGCTCATTCTGATCCAGAAATTCTATGTAAGGAGAATTTATCTGAAGACTGAGTAAACCTTCTGTCCTTTCACAAATGTGACAGAGCTCAGGGCTCTGCTCCTTGGCACCAGCTGGGTAGTACCTTGAAAGTGAATGAAATCTCACTGGTTTAGAATTAACACCCTTCCAACTGCACAGCAAATAAGCAGGTCTCGTAAAGGTCAAGTGGCACATACCCAAACTCTACATTTCCTTCTAAGGGAGTAAGATGAAGGAAAAAAACGTGAAATGACCTCAGTGGAGTGATAAGCTGTAGGCTTAAGGATGAAGATGCAGCAAAGCATGCTAGAGCTTCAGAAGACAATTTCATCACACGCTAGAAAGTCACCTTCAAAGGTGACACAATTACTTGATGAGTAAAACATATTTACTCATTAGGAACCATATTGCTTACCCTTTCAATGTGCACATTTAACATCTATATTCAATAAAGTCTTAGGACCTTTATTTAACACCATTATTTAATAAAGTCTCTGAACTGTGCTAGCGCAAGTACACAATTATCATCCTTTGCAAAACTACTTTTGTCACTGGCATTGTGTGCATTAAAAGGTCGAACTCAGAGAAAAACTATAAAATTCAACCAAAGCAAAATAAAAATGAATTTTTTTTTATTGTTTTCTAAACAGAAATGTTACTTAACTGAAAAGGCCATTTAAAGAAAATGGATCAGTGGTTAAGAGCACTGACTGTTCTTCCAGAGGTCCCTAGTTCAATTCCCAGTACTCACACAGTATCTCAAAACCAACTGTAATTCCAGTCTCCAGGATCTATGTCCTCCTCTGACCTCTGAGGGTACTACATATATGAGGTACACAGATATCTATGTAGGCAAAGCACTTTATATACATTAAAACAAACAAAGAAAGTCTTGATTGGCTGGAATATGGCTCAGTAGTAGGTTTTATGTCTAGCAAAACAGCAGCACATGCACGTACCCACCCCAACATACACACATATTTCTTTCCATTTGACTCATAATTCAAATTCTCTCCTTTTTAACACAGATATATTGCCAGTGATTATATGTGCAAATGGGCTCCTTGGTTATTTGCTAGGGAGAGTATAAATCGGTGCAATTTGTGGAACCGCCTTTCAGTAATGAATGTTGATACAGAAGTTACAACTCTACAGATATTTGGAACAAACACTGATACACACAAAATTAAAGTAAATATTAGTCCATCACAGAGCTAATATTGAAAAGGTACAATGACAAAGGTCAGCTAACATAAGAGTTATTTAGGGTATTTTGTTTTCCCTGAAAGGGGACAAGGACACAGAAACTGTTTAAATTACTCCCAGTTTTAGTCTTCAGTGAGAAGATATTTAAATAAGCACAGTTACAAAGCAGTTCTGATGTTCTCTTCCCAAACCAAAACCTGCTGTTCTCACAACTGCATCTAGCCATAAGGCCAATGCAAATTCAAATCAGAGTGAGTTTTAAAAGGTAAGCTCAGTTAAACTGATTATAAAGTTAGGAATAACATTAAAGTTATGATCAACTTCAGTTGTTCTTGGTGTCTCTGAGATTCCTCTGCCACCTGTTAAATAGGTCAGTGTTCATTCTTCATTTGTTCAAATATGTATACTCAACTTCTGCTGTGTAAATTACTAGCACTACTGAAAGAGATTTTCCTCCCCCCACCCCTGCCCCACCTCCAAGACATGGTTTCTCTGTGTAACCCAGGCTGTCCTGGAACTTGCTCTGTAGACCAAGCTGGCCTCGAACTCACAGAGATCCGCCTGCCTCTGCGTCCCAAGTGCTGGGATTAAAGGCATGTGCCAGCACCACTTGGCTAACAGATTTTTTAAAAGTAGTCACACTTTTAAATTCTTACAACCTCCTGGAATGTAACATTCAAATGAAAAATCCCAGGAACAGACAACTTATCCTTTACAAATGAACACAAAATGAAATCCACCAGGAACCTGGAGAAGCTTTGGGCTCCCCCACATCCACCTTTTACTTTTTCTTCACAGGACTTCATGATAAAATCCTGCCAATGAGGAAGCACAGTTAGGGATGCTTTCTTCATTTTCCCTGCCAAGATTATCATGGTTAAGCTAAACTGAGGTTACACACTTGCTTGATGCCTCACAAAAATGAACAAAATCAGTTCAGGTCCTAATACTCCGGGCCCAAGGCTAGAAGGTCATATCACTTGTGATTTGTAGTTCCTTCAATTCAGAGCAACAGATGGTATCCTACTGAGTACCTGGAAAATTCATCCTTTTAATTATGGAGGTCTTATATTTATTTTGAACAGTCACAAAATTAGGTACAGCATCCAAGCAAACAACCCAAGGAAGATGGTCTATCAAGTTTTAATTTCCTTTCATGAATGTGAGCACAAATCTGGATGTTAATAATAACTATGACATGCTTTTTCCTGGTGCTTATCAGTGTGTATTAAATTACACAGGTGAATAGAAAAGTCAGTCTTAATTTAAGGGTTAAAAATCACAGATATGAGATGGAGAAAGATTTCGAAAGTGGCAAAGAGATCACCTATCCATTTCAAAGATGTGTTTATCTTTTTGTATTTCAAAGGAAAGGCCTTTTGAAAGACATGGCATAGAAATATGCATGTGAATGGAGGCACATTGAAAAGTCTTAGCTTTCAGATACAATGGCTCTCCCCCAGAAAGCACTGTGCAGGATCTGGAAGCTCCACAGTGCATTTTATATCCTGCCAAATACACTAAGGACCCTGCAGTACCGCCTCTGTCCAGCTTCTATCTGATGGCTCATTAGCATTTTCCTAAATGATGACCCCACACTCAACTACTACCTAAGAGAATCCCTCTTCAACAGGAGACATGCATTCATTCATTTGGTACTAAATACACCAGAATGTGTCACATCTCTTTAAAAAAAAAAGAGGTGGGAAGGATAGGGAAAAGAAGATAATTATGAAGGATACAGGATGAAAATGATGGAGAAGGAAAGAGAATTATGGAGGACACAATAAGCAAGTCTGATAGTTTAGAAATATTCATGAAAATCTGTCCTTGAAAATGGAGGGGATTTGGTAGCCAATCTTTTCCATATGACTTCTGAGAAATGTTCTTAGAAAGAGCCCACAAAAGGGTGATAACAAAATGCATCTCGTCAAATGATCTTTCATTCTGGCATGGAGTTATTCTCTCACATCTTCCATGTGGGCTGCAACTCTCCTTCCAAGGCCTATCTCATTTACTACATCTTAATTACACCATGCATTCTGCTGACTGTGGATCCAAGATCTTTCAAGCAAGGCTTGTAAGCAAGAATGCATCCACCCACAAAGGACAAAGCATGGTGCATTGTCAGTGCCCACAAAGGCAGACACCAGGGACTTAGGGAGGAGCTGAGGTTTTCAAAGACTAGCTCACAGGCCCCACAGGGAAGGGGTTCTTATGGAAACCTGTGCCCTGAACACATCTTTCAGGAAAGAGACTTGAGGTGTATTTTTGAAATAGGGTCTTTATTAAAAAGATAAATATAGAATATAAATGGAATCTGGGGTAAGCAATGTGAATTAGGCCCTAAAATGATTTCTTTTCCTAGCATACATTGGTGGAAATCACAGAGCAAAGAAAGTGTGCAATATCAAGGCTGTGCTTGAATCTCAGTTTATTGCTCAGTGTGACCCAAATGTACCCAGACCAAATCCATCAGCAGGGAGATGTAAAATGGTCCCATGCTAGGCTGATTTTCAACAGGCATTCTCTTTGCCTGGTGAAAGCCCCTTCCAACTAGAGGCCAAGTTATTAAGAAATTGTTTGTCATCTTAGATTGGATTGATCATTTGTTTCTCTGAATTCTTTTTCTCATCATTTACTCATTACACGCCTCCTCCTGATGGAAGGAGACATTTATTAGCTTCTGCATTTATTGCATTGGCAAACAGAAACATTCTGCTGCATTTCCTGGGGGTTCACTCATTTATCTATTGGATAAGAGACTGAAGTTTTCTACAGGGCAGAAAAATTAAAATATCAGTCAGGCTGACAGCGGGAAAATGAGGGTCTCTGCGACAAGACGCTTGCTTAAACGTGTGGTTCAGTAAGAAGGTGCTATGTTATTTCACCAAGCTACCACTTCACATGTAACCAAAACTGTGCTATTAGCTGGCAAACAAGCCCTCCAACACACAGTTTACATATGACGCTATAAAGCTCTCAGAAGCAGCGCTAATTGCGGCTTTAAATGGAAAACACAGCATGATGCTTTTGGAGATCTATGTTGAGAGAAGGAGATGGAAGGGAGAGAGAAAGAGGGGAGGGAGAGACAGAGAGAGAACTGTCTCAACAAATCCACGTAAACTGAATTTAGACTGACAAAATTGTAAGTTATAAGAAACCTTATGTCACTGAATCCTAATACAGAAATCTCTGCAGCATCCATCCCTGATAAGACATCATCCACATTTGCTCAAACATTCATGAGGAGGCCAGCATAATGCATAGTACAGCCTGTAGATGGGGGTTCACTTCCTAAACGTGAAGGGATTGGTGTGACTGAGGCAAGCTATTGAATCCTTCTGAGTCTTGGGGCCTTTGTTTCAGGCATTCACTATACTGAATGAATTAAGGTAGGAGGAGAGCAAAGAAATGCAGAAGCCCAACACAGTCTAAGCAGCCCTGCAGTCACTAAAATATGCCACTGCCTTTTGAGGTTGTGCCTCCCCATCAGCAGGACAGGTGCATGTGTGCACAATTATCTAGGGCAGCACACAAGCATTCTGAGCAGGCATCTGAGCTGCCTTATAGCATAGCTTTCTTCAGCTCCTTGTCATTTTCCTCTCCATTTCTTTTTCCCTCCTTTCCCATGGCTTCACTTCCCTTCAATCAATTTTAACTGGTCACTTTTCATTCTTGACAAAAAAACAAATACAATGGTTCACTGGTGAACTCTGCTGTCAGCCAAGAACACAACCCATGGCAGCTGGCCTACTCCAGCCCTGACCTGGTCATCCTAATTCTTTACTGTGATCCTAACTTTCTGGGGGTTAGTCTTCAAGTTAACAAAGCATGAGTAGCCTACTATTGTTCCAGTTACTGATATAACAAAGAAAAATCAATTTCTAATCTTTTACCCCCATCTTTTTACCCCAAAGATGATGGTACAATAGAAAAGTCCAGCTGAAACCCCATGCTGGGCAATGTGGTGCCAACGTGCAATCCCAGCACTCAGGAGGTTCAAAAGTTCAAGGGAGATCTAGCCCACATAAAAAGACTTGATTCAAAGAACAAGCAAATAACAGCAAAGTCTATTCTTCTTGATATAGTGCTTAAGATACTGTTTGTGTCTCAGCAAATCACCTTGGGAATAAGAGTTTAAGTGCTAATAATAAATTAGCTCTCTTCAGTAGCATGTTTCCACTAGGTGCTCACACAAGCTTTCGTGTATTCACTTTCCTTAAATCTGACCTGGGCGCACGTGTGATGTGTGTGTTGGAGGGTATCAAGCTGTTTGTGCACTGATAACCAGACAGCAATGCTGCTAAGTTCAAGTTGGTCCCCGGTCCACAAGTCCTTCATCTCTATCTGGAAGTCTTCATTCTCATGTGCAAACTCCACAGAGTGACGCAGCAGCAGCAGCAGCAGCAGCAGCAGCAGCACACAGGATGACTGCACTGAAGTCCTCCTCTCACACAGGCAACAGCAGCTCAGCAGGCTGGGAAACCCCAAGAGAACTTCCAAGATTAATTCATGCTCCGTTTTCAATACAGTGCCAACATAAAGCGAGAGGATACCTGGCCCCTCTGTGAACCAAAATGATCCAGATGCTAAGGTACTACTGATTTATATTACCTTTTATACAGCTAGTCAGGATAAAAAGCAATATAGGTTCTTTGGTGGTAGTTCATAGGTTAACAATTCCCACAGATTCCATTCTATAACACAGGATGCTAAGATTATTCAATTTACTCCCCACACTTATTTTATCCAAGTAGAAATGTTTCTGTAAACGCCCTTATTTGATAAAGAATTCTTTCAACACTTTACCTTCTGTAAACCATTGCAGGGAAAGGAACTCAAAAAGATCCATTCTTTCTGACCTGTTCTCAAACAAGGCAAAAACCACCTGGAATGCTAGCTGTGTCACTAGCAATATTTCAGATCCACTGATAAAAGACCAGCTACCTGGGCTGGAGAGATGGCTCAGATGTTAAGAGCACTGACTGCTCTTCCAGAGGTCCTGAGTTCAATTCCCAGCAACCACATGGTGGCTCACAACCATCCGTAATCAGATCTGGTGCCCTCTTCTGGCCTGCAGTCATACATTCTGTATACATAATAAATAAATAAATCTTAAAAAAAAAAAAAAAAAGACCAGCTACCAGGCACTACAGTGTGATCTGTCTATCCACCTATCCACCTAATCTACCCATTCACCCACCCACCTACCCACCCACCCACCCATCCATCCATCCATCCAATCTATCTGAGATACAGGCCACAGCTGGAATTCACTATGCAGCCCAGGACAGGTCTCACTCCTTTGAGTATTAGGCCTACAGATGTGCAGCACCACATCCACTTTCTCTGTTGTACTCTGTATAAACTGCCCCACTTAAACCCCACAATCACACCATCATGCTGGCACCATGACCCCTAGTCTATGCTCCCTAGATGAGGAAATTGAGGGCAGTAAACATTTTTCAATCTATACAAAAGGTGAAGTGGGAGGGAAGCATGAGGAGGGTGAGAGGATGATGACCCCCAACTACCCCAGTATCAAAGAAGAAAAACTTGGTTGCTTGGTAAGTCAATAAATGATTTTTTTTTGGGGGGGGGGAAGGACGATCCTAAAGGTGAAAATGTTTTTTTTAATGTCTCCAAATTAAACTTAAATGAACTCCTACGCTGAACAAGGCTCATGATGAAATCCACCTAAGTAGAGGTACTGCTTGTAGAAGATGCTGTTAGCACCTTTTGCTTTTTTTTTTTTTTTCAACCTGGATTCACATATCACTCACCACAAAGAAACTCTTCCTCTGCCAGGCTCCTGTTCCTCCCCAAATAAGTCACCAGCTTCAGACCTTGCCTTTAAGGTCTACCTTGGGGGTGGGGGGGTGGGAGGGGCATTTGTTTATAAGATAACTCTTCCAGTAAATGGCTGTAAATTCCTCTGTGGTCTAACTTCTATATTTATACACCTGACTAGACAAGGGCCCAAACATTACATGGTATCATCAGCTGACTATATAGAAATCCCTAATTATAACTGATAAAAAAATGCAATTTGTGATTTACAGGCACACAGTCATTACCCATCCAATAAGGAGGTCTGTTATTCTTACTCTTCCCAGACCCAGTTACCTACTTCCACCTTCATCCATTATCTTAAGCCTGAAACAGACCAGTCTTTCTTCCCTTTCTCCACCTGTAGCAGACACACTGGCCACTTCAGATCTATGGACACTCTTGGAGAGACATTTGCTGAGAAGAAAAACAGTTAAGAGTTAGCAGCCAAATGTGGGGGTGGGGGCAGGGCATGAGGGGTATGTTTTCATGAGCTGCCCCTGATCGGCTGTGGCTTAGTCAGGGACCACATGAGCGAGCCAAGCAAGGCACACAGCTGGGGGAGGCTCCCAGGTCTGGATGACCACCGGCTGCCTCATTTACACCGCTCCATGGCATCAGCTGCTCTCATGTATTCTTACACTCTTTGCAGAACATGCTGGACTTGCAAGTGCAGTACATAACACTGTATCTTTGCTAATCCCCCCAGGTTGTTGAGCATTTGTGGGAACAGGAATCAAAGAGCCTCCTCACTCCTCTGTGTCTAATGCAACCCCATTACAATTATAAGTTCTCCTTAAGCCTGAACAGTGTAGAAGATCAGAAGGTGAGCCTGGGCTCTGAGGCTTCAAATTCTGGCTCTGCCACTTACTATCTTCATGACCTATACGGTACACAGCATTCCCATGCCTCACTCCATTTGTCTAAGAAACGAGCATACCAGCCCTGGGCAGTTGGAAAGGTTATGTGAAATACCACAGTACTGCAGTACTGGCAAATGGTAAGCTCACAATAAATGTTATTCCTTATTTCAAATAGCGAGGAAGGATTATCAATGTTGATTTGGGTTTGAGGAAAAACACAGGGAAAACCATGGGTGCATTTTCACTTGATGAATTAAAAAAAGAAAAAAAACCAAAACAAAAACAACTCTTCGCTATCATTTAAGCCGATTCATTGGGCTTATTTACTATTCTAGAAGAGAAGAGATTAAAGTCACTCTTGAAATCAGAGTGCCATTTGAACTCCACACAGAAGTGATCCAGTAACAAAGTGCAGACCAAAATAAGCACCGTCTGCTAGGCTTGGCACACTAGCTACTGCACTTGAAAAGCAAACCTGGCACTTTCTGCAAAGAATGCATGAGAGCAGCTGATGCCATGGAGCAATGTAAATGAAGCAGCCAATGATCATTCAGACCTGGGAGGCCTCCCTATCAGACATGTGACCTGCCTGGCTGGCTCCTTGACTAAGCAGCAGCTGATTGGGGCAGCGCATGAACCCCCGCCCCTAACATACACACACATACTTATCTAAAACTCTTACTATTTCTTTTCCCGTAAATTACACTCAACATAAAATATGTCTGTTGTAGACTGTCTTTGCATTAACCAGTTGCTAACACTATAGAAAGAGAAGTTTGTGCCTTGTTGCTCTATTTCCAGAGTCTAAAACAGAGCCTGCTGCATTGATAATTATATAAAAAAAAAAAAAGAAAAGAAAAAAGAAAAAAACAAAAAGAAACCCCCAAACCATAAAATGAATGAATGGTCCTGGTTACTAGCTAGCTACTAGTGACAAAGCAAAGTGAAAAACTAAATAAAACAAAGCACTTCACACTTGACAAATGTCCTAAATGATTAGCAACAACACTATTGCAGAATAATTTAAAAATCAATTAAAAGACTATTAAAGTATTGGTTTCTTCTAGAGTCTAGAAAACTCCCAAACAAATTGTTTGAAAGCAATATTTAGATGCGACCTAGAAGTTAAGAGAGCAGGTGATCCTGGAATAAGAAAGGCTTAGGGAGTAACACAGAAAGTGGGTTATAAGAAGAGACTGTGGGCAACTTTTATTTTGTAACCTGAAAGGGGAGAATAACTCTCTCTTCATTTAAAAACACCAACAAATAAAACTAATACTATTATATATCTAATAAAAGTCATCATCTCATTAATTTTCAAATACCATGAACATGCAGTTTTCCATTTCAGTGTGAATTAATGGTAAGTATAAGGCAGAAAGACTATCCACAATACCCCATCTGCTGTGTGGATAAACTTTTAAAAAAGTAATTTTCTCTAAAGACAAATAATTTTCCTTGGATAATGGGGAATCCAGAAAGCATGTTTCATCAAATGTGCTACCATAGCTGGGTGGTGGTGACGCATGCCTTTAATCTCAGCACCCAGGAGGCAGAGGCAGGTGGATCTCTGTGAGTTCGAGGCCAGCCTAGGCCACCGAGTGAGTTCCAGGAAAGGCGCAAAGCTACACAGACAAACCCTGTCTGGAAAAACAAAAACAAAAAAATGTGCTACAGTAAAAAATTTTAACTGTAGTGTGATTTGCAAGGTGGTGGGTTTAGTGAGGACTTTACCACACTTTGTACCACAGAGAAAATGAGAAGAAAAGCAACTTAAAAGGTTGCATACATCCCTATCTTGACTCTACCGTGTAGTAAACTAAAAAGACATTCATCCACAGAGAAACTAGCTTTAATCCTTTACTTCCGCTATAGCAAGTATACCCTGTAGTGTACTTTGAATCATGGGATTAAAAACACAAGATCTACATATATGAAAGATAGTTGAAGAGCTCGAGTCTGGATTTGATTTGATTTTTTTTTCTTTTTTCAGGAACAATAAAGTCAACAGCAAACTGTGGGGAACTATAAAAATGAATTCAAATTTCATTTAAAAGCTTATTTTCCAGACTGGAAAAGTTCATCATTTAATTCTTTTTCTTTCCCTCATTTTAAGTGTATCATGTTTTGCCTGCATGCACATATGTGCACCATGTATGTGCTGTGTCTGAGGAGGCCAGAAAAAGGGCCTTGAGTCCCCTGGAGCTAGTCACAGCAGTTGTAGAGCATCATGGAGGTTCTGGACACGGAACTTGGTGCTCTGTGAAAGCAGCCAGTGCTCTTAAGTGTGAGCTAAGTCATCTCTCCAGCCTCTGATAATTTCATTCTAAGAATTCTCTAACCTCACCATGCCTTTTGAAGACTTTTGTTTTTGTTTTTAAAGGCATATTCTTCAGAAAGGCAACAATGTCTACTGTGAATTTTTTGCTTTGTTTTGTTTTCCTGAGCTGGTCAACAAAATTTGAAATCCGTATTTCAAAAATTAAAAAGAATTTGGTGATTTTGCTCTTTGGTGAGTACTTTTAATAGACTCTTGCATAAGTAACACAGAATGATGGGACATGTCAGTACTGCATCCCACTTAGAACGTTTTTCTGCATAAACGGAATTGACAGTATCAACACCCCACCTTCATTTCCCTGAACCTTAGTCTTAGAAATGTTTGCTGCCTCCTAGTAATACAACCCACAATAAGTATCTTGTTTTTCCAAGGAAGGATCTTTTTATCAGGAATATTCTCATCAGAGCACAGTATTAAGAGGGAAGCAGTGGCTGTTGGGAGAAGCACTCCAGGCCTCTCTGGCATGCCTCTTTGCCCTGGCCCACAGAAGCCATTGAGGCCGCAATCACACTCTTATGCTTTCTTGTCTTACGCTGCATTTGAGGAATAAGACAGAAAGTAAAATGTAAACTTCTGTACTTGTTTATTGTTTGACTTACATATCTCCTTATTTAATTTTAACAAAAATTTTAATTTAAAAAAAACCTGCAAGATTGGCCCAAATACCATTAACAACACCTTTGTTTCTGTGATGATTTCTTAAATCAAGGGTATTGTTGGAATATTAGAAAAACCAAACCTATCAGTGTACCAGTGGCTGAGCTCACGTGGTAGGTCACGTGTGCAGGCAAAACTTCCTGCAGGGAACAGCCTCCTCCTGCTGGTCTTTCCAGGCTTCAGAACTATAGTTGGTAGAACCTAGCTCTTTCCTCTCTATGGGCCTCCTCACTAACTAGATGATGTGAGCTACTCTGCACACCACAAAACTTTCAGTAAACATCAAGTATAACTAGGTCATACAGAGCATTCAATCTGTTGCTTGTTTGTTTAGAAACGGGTCTTGTTTTGTTTTGCTTGTTAATTTCCCACCTCTTAGCCAGAAAGGTATTCATTAGCATTCTTTCATCTGGATAAACAATTTAGTCTCTGCTCAAGAGATGAAGGATGACCAAAAGACCCAGGTTGTTATACACTATCAGGTTACTATCTTAGATATTGGATATCTATCAAGTTTGAAGGGAAATACATATGAAAGACATCTCATTCTAACAACAAAAAAATGTACATTAAAAAGGTTTGAAAAAAACCTAAAAGAATGTATGTAGGCATCAATATTTTTATTCTATATTATAAAATTAGTTCCATAGTAAGCTCAACAACTCATACTTTTGGGAAAATTCAAAATACTATTTTATATTTTAGCATAATAAAACAAGGTATACGTGTTTCAAACAGAGCTCAACCCACATTTCCATAGTCAACCTCTCGTCCTCTATGTTTCTTTCTTTTTTTTTTTTTTTAAAACTTTTCACTCAAAAGCTACCTCAAATATCTATGTACAATCCTCAACAGTTTAGGTGCCGCTGCTAATGATGTTAGCCGATATTTATGCTCACTTTGTTTGCATAATGTATATAATATTTTGCTTAATTTCCATATGCACAAGGCAGTATATCACGAAGGCCACTATACCAAGAAAATTCTAAAGATCAAATAGATATTTCCAATAACAAACAGCGAAAGTGTATGAGGTCTAACATTTGATCCCATATCCTGCTGGTCTTTGATGCACTTTGTTAACCCTGAAGTCCTTTGTAGGAGAGGTCTCACACTATCAATGAATTCTGGGGTCACCAAGCTTATGTCCCTAAGATTCTAAGCCTGTGGTTACTCTTAACTATCTCATGTAATAATGAAATACCAGGGGACAAGTACTTGAGAAGCAAAGTTTAACAAATTATTACATCCAAAAATCAGCAAGTAGACCAAGCCAGCAAGAGTCCTCTGCTCTGATAAAACTAACCAGCTGAGTTCAACTGCACATGCCATTCCACTGGCACAGCAGTTAATTCAAAGATACACACCTGCCCATCGCTGAAACAAAGCTGAGCTTGGTTGTCATAAAACCTAAGCAACACTACCCAACATATTCACTATTTTAAGCCATCTGTGCATTATCTGGGAGGGCTGCCATGCAAACCAGTTCTAAGAGTGTAAGTGGACCAATCCACATCATTCACTTGCCTGGCGCTGAATTGATGGAGCAATAACAATAATTAAGTAAACACCACCATCATTCCCTTGCCAACAGCATAAATCCAATTTTCCAGTATCCATGTGTGTAGTAAGACAGGCCCATAGGGTCAAGGAAATTGGCTCAGACCAGTACAAGGCATGCACATAGCGTACTCCTTAAGAGCCAACCTGGAGTCTGACTGAGGGCCTAGCAACAGTCACTGTCAGAGTTCCTGATCATGCCCAGCCAATGAGGGATGACCACACAGACTGGGTGCTGGGAGGAGGGTATATAAGGCCTTCCCTGCTATTGAATAAGTGAGTTTGTTATTTGCTTTCAATGGACTCCCAGTATCTGTGTCATTGATGCAGCACCTTCTCACCCACTCCCCCAGGGAGCCATTAGGATCTAAGCAACACACGTACCCATTTCTTAGTGTGAAAACAGGCTAACTTCTGTGTTAGATGAGTAAGTTCCTAAGAGCAGCAAACTTCCGTGTCAATAAAATATCTCAATTCATTTGCATATTATCCATGTTATTGTTCAATACTGGTTTTAACTCTCTGTCGGAACAGGCTTAAAATAACAGTAGTCTTATTTTGTTGTCTGGCAATGCTTGAAACCTGGAGTGTCATCATGAGCACTGCTTCCGCTTGGCCACTCCTAAAGTAATATTCATTCACAACCCTCTTCTGTATAATTACCCTCAAATGCTTGCAGAACAATGGAGAGTTCTACAAATTGGTTCTTCATGTAGCTTGAGCCAACAGATTATAATACTTGGCCTTTTGCCTCTATGGCATTATTCTTTTTGAAAATGGGTTTAGGGTCAAGTCTAAATGAGACATAATATAATTTTTAGTCTGTCCAACAGCAAAATGGCAGTGTCTGTCTTTAATCACACACTATTGAATTTCAACAAGTAGTTCAAGGTATGGCTGCCAAATTTCTACAATTTCAAGCAAATCCCATGAGAGAACAGACAATTCACAATCCTCCATGCATTATTTTTACTGAATTACAGAAACACTGAGGTTCCAGTATTACGTTCATTTTGATAACAGTGTAAACAGTCAGGTAGACATGGATCACCTACCCTTAGGAAATACCACAGGACCTTTTCCTCTCAGCTTTGCACTCCCTATATCAGGTCATACAGTCTATTCTGGTAAGGTAGAAACTACAGTAAGTTCTTGAAATACTACTATTAAGGAATAGCAAGGAAGGAGGCATTATGAAATACTGGAGACAAAGTATGTTTCATCTTGTTACTCCATGTACCTCAAAGTTACTATGTCAGGCAGATCAGTATGCAGTAGGTGATATCCAACATGAGGCAGGTGAATGTAGAGAGAAAGCAAGTTTGGGAACCAGGCACAGGAGCCCATATGCCTGCAATTCCAACACTCATGATGCTGAGATAGGGAGTGAAGGGTGGTGGGTTTAAGGTCTGTCTGAAACATATAATGAGAGGCAGGAAGGGCCCAATAGAAGGAAGAAGGGAGGAAGGAAGGCATGTACTGTCTATAATGTATTTACTGTCTACAGTGTATTTGTCTATTCATAATCTAAGTTTGTAAAAAGTTCCTAACCCAGGCTCCAGGTGCAGCAGTAGACACCATGCTTCAGGGACCCTTTGATAGGATCTGCTAAATTCTATCACACTGAATCTCATCACTATGACCTGCACTGAAGTAGCTTGGCTTAAAAGTTATTTCTGGCTACTTTCCCCATAGAATGACTAGAACCACTTTCTCTTTTCTCTATCCTATCAGAAGAATAAAGCCCACTCTACAACACAGGTCTTTGGCTATCTCCTTCCTTCTAGCACCTCCCATCCACTCAGGCTGAGTACTGTAGCACACTAAATGGCTATTCAGCTCATCAGGACCCAGAAAATACTGGTGTAATTTCTCTTTGCTATAAACACAGTTCACTATGAAGTAAGCCTATGGTGCTTACTGTAGAAAGGGCCCACCAACTGTTGCTAATGGACAGTTAATTGAAAATCTGTTACTTTACTCTAAAGAGAAAACAAATCCATATTCCATTCACCTTCATGAACACCTTCTTAGAAGTGAGTGGTACCTGCTTCCCAGGAACTTTGTGTCCCACCAGTGGTCACCCAGAGTGAGAGGCTGTTTGGCATGAGGAGGGCGGGGCCTAGCTGCACAGCTGGGAAATCTGGGGCAAGATACTCAGTGACTTTGAGTTTCAACAGTAAAAACAGCAACTGACTGGGGAAGTGTGGGAGCCTGTTCTGGGATTCCTCGTGGCTTTACCCAGCAGGTCCGAATAGAGGATGATCAGGACCACGGGCCTGAGTGTAGGTGTCTGAGATGGCCTGCACTTGGCTGTGCTGGGGGAGGAGGTCTTTTGCTCCACCCCTTGGCGTCTCTATAAAAACCCTGG